ACCCTTCTGTGATGAGCCTTTATGAAGTTCTTCCAAAGTTTCCTTTACACAGTTTCCTTGACATCATCCCTTGATCTTTTTTATAATCTCCACTGTTTTTGACATGATATTTAACTGTATGTCTTTAATGACGTGTCGGGTCACGCGGTTGATCTAACTTCACTCACTTTTGGTTGCAGTGATACTTTTGATTTGTGTATCTTCGGTAGATAGTAAAGGATCTCGAGTCTCGAGTTGTTTGAATGGATTGTTTTTGATCTTATACACTGGTAGTTCGTGTGTTGCTTGAGCGATTGCTTCTTCCACCACGTCTTGAGGCTGATGCCGAACGTCAACACATGGTGTCCAGAGCGTCACCGATTTCTTCTTTTGGAATCGTCCCGGGTGCCATGACGAAATTTGGACCTTTGTACCGTCCTCTTTTAGTTCTACAGAAGCCATGTTAATGACTTATCCAGATTCGTCTGATTGGTGCATTTTTCGATGAATAGTTTATTTAGCTTCTTTCTCTGCATGTTTTTGTCTTCCGTCTCTGTGTTCCTCTAACTGCTTTCTAGTGTCTCATTAAAATTATTTGTAAACTTCAAAAGATATGCGTTGTTAAAAAATGTATTTCTTAAATTCTTAGGACTTAGGCCGGTGTCCCATGCATCCGAATTCCGATGTACGATATCCGAAAATATTTTAATTCAAACGAATGATAATACTATAATTCACATGCATCCGAAATTAATCTCATAGAAATGAAGTATAGAACCATGGAATTTATTACAAGATGAAGGTGAAACATTTTTAAATGGTATGTATATATCATATATCATATATCAATAATAGGTATATATCATAGAAAATATACGTAGTATTATATTTTCTACATTCGACATTATAATATATAACATTTATTTGACTGTAAATATATCAAACAACAATCATAGTATGTTAAAAACTTAAAAAGTGAGGTTAAAAAACATACGATTTCGGACAAAAGTTAAAATTATTTCTACTTTTTCCGACGTCGTATGAATTTTAAAAATTTCGGATGAAAATGAGCGGTAAAAATTTGAATGTATATTAACCAATAGGAACACTTTCGGATCTTCGTATCGTCGGAATTCGGATGCATGGGACACCGGCCTTATAAATCGGGACACAATTTATAATTTCCTAATTAAGTAACTATTTTGAAAAGTAGTCAATATATTTTGGAACAAGGTCCCTTAAATATTATTTTTATTTAAAATAAATATTATTTTCATAATTTAGCGTAAATGAATATGCAAATGAAAAGTTTTTGATAATATACTCTGATAAAATTTTAAATAACAATATTTCACTAAACATCTGTTAGCTCAGTGGCGGCTCGTTTCAAATTGTGATCGTAAGTTTGGTCAAAATATAAAATGTAGGTACATACCTACCTATTCTTGGTTTTATAAACCCTAACCTGGTTTGCTAAAATAATTTAACTTAAAAGAGTAGTAAAATTTATTGTTAATAATAAAACTGCTTATTTTATTAAATAGAATTAGTAATATTAAAGAATTTCGGGGTCTTATTAGTTGATATTTGTTAATGTTCTGAATTTTTCCGATTTTGTTTCCAATTTTTCTGGGGAAAAACCGCTGTTTGTTCTGACGGCTTTCCCATTAAATTTTGAATCTCTAGCTAGAGTATTTAATCATGTTGGTCAGGATAAAGTTTGTATATTTGTATATTTTACGACTAATTTTTAAAAAATAAGCACTTAAGACACATTTATGACCTGATTTATTTCCTGTATAGTTATTTATTAAGTGTAAATAAATACAAGCACAAGGACGACCGCGTCAAAACGCTTTCACTTAATTCTTGTTCTACTGCTGAACAAAAAGAATATTGAAACATTTTAATTCAGTCACCCTTATTTTTTACAATTCAATAGTTAATAGCTATGTCTGCTATAATTACCATTGCGATAAATATAATGTTAAAGTTCCGTTTGATACATATTTGTTTTTGCAACACAGTGGTGTAGTTTATAAATTAATTAATTATGCTTCATTTAATCGAACATTTCCTAAGTCACAACGAAATTTAATAATGAGCCTTGCCACGAGATGTCAATATTTTTGTCGTAATATATCAATACCTATATACCAATTTTTTATTAATAGTTACTATTTTATGTAGGTACTAATTATTCATATTGGCTTACATTTTGTCAATTAATTTAGTTGAGAAGTAACAAAGCATGCAAAACTGCACATGGCGGTAAAGCTTTTTAAGCCAGATTTTCATTTTCATTAGGTTTTGAAAATAAAGAATTCAAAGAGCTGTTTTAAAGATTCTTACAAAATTTAATCGACGTTCTCAATGTGTGCAAAATAATTAGCAAACTTATCTAAATAATTATCTAACAAATATAGGTGGTTTTAATTTAATAAGAAAGTAAAAAGGTAGGTATGTATTTTTGCATATTTGAAACGTGAATGACTTTCTTGTTTTGGGAGGTCCGCCCTGTATCGAACTATAATAAAAAATAAAGATATAAGGTTTTTTTATAACAATATATAGGTATATAAACAACTATTATATTAATTTATTATATAAAATCGTACTTTTATCGTCCTATATTTATATTATGTGGGCATGTTTTATCTTATCTTGAGGAAACCGCTAGAATATAGATAATTCGAGTTATAAATGTAGACTTCTTCTAATAGTTACTTCAATATTTAATGTTAGTATAAAGATCAATAAATAGGAGAGTTTTGAAAAATATGTAACAAGAAAATATTTTTATATACATGCACACTACTACCAAGATTTGTATGATGATAAAAGAAATACATAACATTAGAAAGTCACATATTACTAAATATTTATTCTACCACAAATTGTTTTTTACTAAATCGATATTTAATGTTCTCATATTCATTTAACCAAAGACTATTACTTCTACCACAACAGCAATTTGTATCTACATTTTATTGACAAAAATTATTTATTTAGAGAATTTATTGAAGGAAAAAATGAATAGTAACAGCTTAAGCAATTGTAGATCTAAGCACTATAATTTGTTGTGATATAGAATATAGCTCGAAACATAATTTACAGTACTTTTCGCACACAGTTATATTTGCAATTTTTTACTAAGAATATCACAGGTACCTACTGAACAGGTATTTTACTGAAATAGAAATATTGCTAAGTACTACAGAGTAACTATGGTCCATAACTTCAGGACACAATTTTTTATGGTATTTAAAGAAAAAAGTTCCCATAAACACTTAGATTCCGAGATACAGGATGTTGAAAATTTTAAAAAATTCATTAATATTTGAAATAAATTTGGAACATCATGTTAGGTTCTTAAAATTTAGCAGTTATTGTACGTTGGTAAATAGCTGCATTTTTAGGATAAAATCAATTTTTATCTGCCGCCAGTGACGTAGTTAGGCGAGAGTCACTCGACGTTTTCGTCATAAAATGTAGACCGCCAATGGATTTTTAAAAAATTTTATCAGTTTCGGACTCGCCTAACATTTTACAACAAAATAGTTGTCTTGAATTTTTTGACTTATACTAACCTATTAGAAAAATGACCGGCAACTACAAACAACAATCATATCAATAACACAAAATCAAAGCAAATGTTGAAACTGGCCACCTTCTGATAAAAGATTCTGATAAAATGATTCCAATCATTTCATAATTGATTGTCTCACTCGTTGAAAAATTCCTAGAGAATTTTGTATGACATCACAGCTTTGAATTATTCGATTTTGTAACTCGTTTTTATCTAGAACAGGTGTCTTATACACAAGAGACTTGAAGTGACCCCATACAAAAGAGTCGTGAGGATTCATATCGGGGCTGCGCGCTGGCCAAGCTTGGGTATCTGCGTGTCCGATACAACGAATAGGAAAGGTGTTGTCGAGGCACTGACGAGCAACACGGCTGAAATGAGCTGGGTCACCATCGTGCATAAACCAGAAATTAGCGCTTTTAATAAATCATTTAATTTTTCGGCTAGAAACTGATTTTACAAGTTACCAGTAAATCGAGCTGGTAAATAGTATGGTCCAATACATTCAACGAAAATGAATGCTGAAAACGACAATCTCTTATTGAATGTGGATTTTCGTCCACCAAAAAATGTTCATTGTGAAAATTAATAATTGCTTCTTGTGAAAAAGTTGCCTCATCACTCATCAGTAATAAAATTTTTGTCAAATAATTGTTATTATGTCCCATTGTATGGAGTAACCTACTAAAATCTAGCCTTGGCTGAAAGTCACGGAGCAGCAGAGCTTGTACCCGTTGTATGTGGTATGGAAATAACTGACATATTTTCAAAACTTTCCAAATAGTCTTTGTAGTGAGTTTTAAATTTTTGAGATACTCCAAATTAAAATTTGAAATATGAATTGCAAAATTTGATAATTGATTTGATGGTTCAAATAATTAATGTTCTACAAAAAATAAAAGCCAATGTGGTAATCTGTAATTTTTTTTCAGATCTCCATTAGCTAGTTATCAGTAGGTACATTTTTTACTTTTGTTCAGAGAATTTTACTATTTTTCGAAAATTATTCCAAGGCAGGATGGTGTTCATAATTTTATTTAAAAGAACACAAAAGTAAATTTCAATAATTGAATTATTAATTATTTTTATTGAATTATGTTTACAATTTTAAGTACCTGCCATTGTCATATTTGAGTAAAATTTCAACTATACATTATTTATTGCAACACACTTAGCTTATGGAGCATTATTTTGGTGATGTCGACTATCGCTCTTAATGTTAAATATAAACCCATCACTTTAATCCTGAGGAAGGACTCATAAACTAAGTGTTACATATACAAAAAGTTAGTATCTATATTCTCTGGAGTGCTATGCTCAATTGCCTTTGATTAAAAGATTGAACTCTATGAAAAATTTGTATAACAACATTTTTACTTTCTCAGAGTAACATTAAAGAATATTTATTTATTCAGTTGTTTTCTTTTTTCAGAACCCTTCCTTCTCGATGAGAAAATGTTGCCCATTTTGGACGAAGTGGAACCACCACGTGCCATAGCCGTCCCTGTACAAATAGTAAAATCGGAATATAACAAGGCACCTGATACCCAATACCTTTTGAAAGAATTTGAAACAATGTACGACGTGGTGGAATTTACTCATGGCACTTTAACCCCACCCCAAAGTCCGCCAAGTGGGCAACCAAATCTTACGACTCTAGAACCACTTCTTACTCCAACAGCCTATTCAATCATTCCAGAAAATAAATTAACACTTTTTTCTATGCCTGAAAAACAACTGCTGCCCGAAGTTCCCCCTGTACCCTATACTCACGACATAAGTTACCCCCCCGCAGACACCCCCCAACCGGATATTGCCCATGAACTTGCGGTAGTCGATGAACTCGTACGTACCCGTGTAGAAGATATGCAGTGGAGCAGTAGTAGCAGCAATCCAGGATCGCCAGGAAGTAGTAGCACAAGCAACTTTGGGGACTGCTCCTCTGATGATCCCGAATGGATGCCGGAAACCATCCAGTCGTACACGAATGATGAGACTACTATTAAAACCCCTCGTAAGAAATCCAAGCCGTACACCAAGGGTGCAACCGAAGACAAAAAGGTCAGGAAAAAGGAACAAAATAAAAATGCTGCCACCAGATACCGCCTCAAGAAGAAAGCCGAAGTTGAGGAGATTTTAACTGAAGAAAAGGGACTGCTGGACACAAATTCAGATTTAAAGAATAATATTACCGATTTGCAACGCGAAATTAAGTACTTAAAAGGTCTTATGCGTGATCTCTTTAAAGCCAAGGGTCTTATCAACTAACGAACACACTTTATTAAAATATTTTTTGTTTTTTTTATGTATCAAACGTGCTATATTTTAGAGGATTCCAATATCACAAGTTGTTTGATAGAATGTAGGTGTGTTAGGAAAGATTTTTAAGGTATATCTTTAAGTATACAGGCAAATCAAATATTTGGACTTTGTTAATCCAAGTGTATGATTTGGCCTTGCTTTATTTTTAATGTTATATATGCTTCAATTTATACTTTTAACGTAGTTTTAATTCACATACTAATAAAGGATGAATTTAGGTGGGAATATTTTTGGTGTTTTATTTCTCGAGATCTTTACCTACACATCAGTGAAATGGAGCACTCACTTATGTCGACTATTAACCAATCAAGCTGCATTAAATGGTTCTTCAGAAATTGCACTGAACCACAGGGGAATTCATTAGCAAATAGCCAACTGTAACAGCGACTCATCAATGGTGAAATATTTGAGCTCTTTATGTATAGATGAATAGATGATACTAAATTTTTTGAATTATAAACTAAGAAAAAGTTGAGGATACTTAAATCTTAAATCAGTCTTTATTGTTAAAATTTTTAATTTTTACTACCTCTCCAATTTTCAAATAAACAGCTTAATTTCACGACGTACCTACTACTGCCATATTTGACATTATCCTTGATATTTCCCAAACAGTTCTAAAGCTCAGAAAAATCTGAAAAGAATCCAGAAGACTCATGATCGTTCCAAAACTGTAATCTGTTCCACTGATTTTTTTTTTTTTTATGGAGACATTTGCCATTTGCACCAAAACTGGCTATCGCAGCGTGTTTAGCGACCTCAGGTGCGTACGGTGCCGCCCATAGATTAAATACAAAGTGCCGAATTTAGAGGGGTACTTTAATTTTTTGACAATTTTCATGGTCCCTCGATTTTACTCAAAAAGTTTTACGACTAGGTAAAACCTAAAAAAATTCAGGTCCTAACCAATTCAAAATTCGTTTGAAAGGCCAGAGGATATTGCAAATGCATTTGCTAAGTACTTCAAGTTGGTGTATTCTGTAGATACTCCCTTACAAAGAAATGGTACATGTAAAGATTACAACTTGGATAATTTAAATATAGGGACCATCAGCNTATTTGTTTAAATAGAAAAGTTAGCTAATAAAAGTTTTTGACTCACGAGACGAGAGATGTCTTGTATTATGTTCCTTTAGACAATTTTACAATAATCTAGCGGATATGACTTCTTTCGAGTTTCTCTTTTATTTTCGCTAATTTTCCTGGTGTAAATACAATTCGTAATGTAGAAGAAAATAAACAAAGCTAATCAGAAACGAATCCATTTTATTGATGATACAAATATTATGTTTCCTATGTTGACCGGATCAACATTTAATAATTGCGCTTTGCATAACTGCTTTTATATAAATTTATGAGCAATAAATATTCTGTTGTAGTTCTATTATTGTCGAATCATTGGCGGCAGCACAGAACAAATTGTACGCGCCACACTGACAATCAGATAATGTATTCACAAGGCTGTCGCGCTTTTCACTTGCGTGATCACCCTGTAAAGTATTTTTTGGCCTTGTGTATTTTGATGCGCACAAAATGTGTGTCCGTTTTTGCTGTAGTCTCGGAGATTACAGAGAAACTCGAAATGCAATCCGATTTTTCAGGATACAACAATGAAAGAGCGCGGTATCAGTATCCGTTTAATATTAGCTGCTTGTGAAACGGAGCGCGTGTGCCACTACGATTCGTGCCAGATTACAAAAATAGACGCGCGTCACTTTAAATTCACCCTTATCTCTTTTTAAGGCCATAAAACTACTGACGCGGGCCGAGTCGCTTCGGTGGTGTCTCGAACGGACCGCAAAATATTCCCGTTTTTGAAATTGAAAATACGAGGGAAAGCGATAGACTAGGTCCTATATTTTGAACCATCGAATACATAAAATAATGTGTTATAAAGAAATTTTTCCCAAATGTGTCTTGTCTTGACTGAACCGATACATATTATTAAAAATTTTAAACAATTATTAGCATACAGTTATAAAATTATGGAAAATACGTATAAGTGACATTGCTAGATAACCTCGGTTGCCTAACCCTCAGGAGTCATAGCTTCAGATTCAAAAAATTCTTTAAAGTTAAGAACGAATGGTGGCTAGAAGCAGTGGCGGTTTTACCATAAGAGCTGCGGAGCTGCAGAACACATAAAATTTTATGTATTTAATCATATTAAATATCAACAAAATATTTAAAGAATCCAAATGTACTCCCGCTAAAATAAATCTAGGAGCTTATATTATTATTTATTGCGACGCGAGCTACGCTCCTTAATATATGCAACCTCATATACACAATGTGTGAACAGCGAACAATTATATGCGTCCTTTGTTTTTATTGGCTGATCAGGCACGTGACCCAGTACACGAAGATAGGGGCTTTGGCGGCTGCAATACTGACAGCCACTGCGTTGCATTCTGCAGTAAATGCAGTAGTATTTCGTACGTGGTATGTGGTGGTTTATTTCTGCGAGCGGCACGTGTGAATATTTTCGTTTAGGCGTCTACGGATATTATAGTTATTAAAATGAATAGCGTTTCGTTTAAATAAAATAACTTTATTTGGTTCTCTGCCTTATGAGGATAAACTAAAAATAAAAGAAGTAAAAGTTATAAAAAAACAATAATGTATACACAAAAGCAGAGTGGGTGTGCGGGTGTGATTTAAAATATTCACTGTTTTGTTTTCCGTGCTTACTTTTCGGTGGGGATAAAGCGGACAATATACAGTGTGAAAGATTTAAGTTATTAAGTCTTTAGGTAAAATAAACATAAGAAGTCAGTTAGATTCTGCATATTGGGATAATATACGGAAACATATGAACAGGTAATGAAAAATCGTCATGTATTATTTAAAATCATAGATTGCATAAAATTTTACGGAGCTTTCGAATTAGCACTTCTCGGACACGACAAGACAGAAAATTCGGACAACGCTGATGTGTTTCGTGGACTCATAAATTTTAAAAGAACATCTAGCCACATTGGTATGACCGGGATTTTCTGTGATTGTACCGGGAATTAGCTGTATGGTCCCGGATTTCGGATTTGCACGTATAACTCCCGGAATATAATATAATGTACATATATATAAAAAAATATAAAGAAAAAATCATAACACGCCGAGGAAAATTAAAATTCGTTGAATTGTTGGTAAATATCACAAACGATTTTTTTTTATAAACAATATTCAATAATTTAATAAAATATATTTAGTTTATTCCAATTTATTATACCATCAGTAGGTAATTCGTAAATGGATATTTCAAAAAGGTATCTATTTCAAAAATCATTCTTGTGAAAATCTGTATTTTTTTTATAAATTCATTGTTCCTTGAAATTCAGAAGTGCCAGGAAAACGCGTGACCTTGAAAATTTTAAAATTTTTCGTCTGCAGCGCCATTTAGAAACTCCGGGCACTTAATATCCCGGAATTCAATTCAACAAATATAACAACCCTAAGCAGAACACATTCAATCAATGTTCACGCGCCGCCACTGGCTAGAAGCCTTGTTTGTATATAATACAATTAAACAACCAATTTAATATAGAAAGGGAAATACTAGATGAAGACTCTCCTACAAAATCACTGTAACTCTTGTTGAAAATTTAAATAAAGAAGATAGGGATTATACAAGTCTCCAAGTAGTGATTTCATTCCTAAGTTTGACTGGTTGTATAACTGTCTTACATAAACAAGGCTAGAACTTATCGAGAGAGACACAATATTACGTAGAGGAATACATTCAAAAGAAAATAGACTATTTTACTAGTGTGTCACATATTTAGGCAACCCGCAACAAATTGTCATAGTTAAAATTGCACACACCGAATCTAATCCTTGTGTACTATTTACATATTAGGTAGGTACCTACTATAAAAATGAACAACTTCAAATTAATTTATTTTTACAAGGATTTAGAAGTATTTAAGAACAATCAACACGTGTTTGGTAAAATAGATACACTAATGTGTTTAAAATTTAGAAAAAATGATATAAAAGAATATTCCTAAATTTAAATAAAGTAAATATTTAACATTAGCCGTGTTATTCCTAATGCGCATGCTCGTGGTGAATAGCCTCATACTCAGGTGAGATCTTGTTGATTTGTTATGGCTGTCATTAGCGTATTTTTTCTTGTTTTGTTTAATCTTGTCATTTTCTAGTTCTACTAAGAATTTTTATTTTGTTTCTTGGTGTTGTACTGTGTCAGTGTGTTTATCGTTTTTTTTTTTCTTCAAATGGTTTGTTATAGACATAGACGTACTCTTAACCAATACCAAACTTTTCGTAGATGATATCCTGTTGCGACGCTACTGCGCTTACATGAAATTATCTTTATCTCAGTAACATTGATATAATTTTCATTTATTAATTACTATAAATTGTGTTTATGTGTGTTACTATATATTGTGAAATTTAACAATGCAGAATCTGAAACTTTTGTGTCAACTTCCGGTGTGCCTCAAGGATCCATATTGGGACCATTGCTTTTTATCTTATTTATAAATGACATCTCTGATTATATAAAGCATGCAAAGTTCTTACTCTATGCAGATGACTTGAAGATGTACCTTAACATAACATGTTGGGATGATGTTGCAAAATTGCAAAGTGATGTCACAGCTGTTTCTGAGTTTTGTAAAGATAACGACCTAGCTTTAAATGAGGCAAAATGTAAACTGGTATCATATACACGGAAGAAATACCCTATATTGGGAGAATATATGGTGAATGGTGTTGAGATAGAGCCTCTAAATAGAATCAGGGACCTAGGTGTAATTTTTAGCAAAAATTTTACATTTAATGAACATATATATACAGGAAGCTCGGTTTTGTTCTTAGGACTAGCCAAGAGTTTAAATCTAACACAGTTATAAGGCTATTCAATACATTTGTAAGATCAAAACTGGAGTATTGCAGTGTGATTTGGAACCCACAAGCTACCAGTAACAAGGACACAATAGAGAAGATACAGAAGAAGCTTTTGAGGTCAATATATGTTAAAGAGTATGGAGTGTACCCGTTCATGGTATCATATGAACATCAACGAGCAGAGTTTGGCGTGACCTCTTTTGATAGGAGAAGAGAAAAGGCTCAGATTTTGTTCGCTTATAATATTTTACATAGTAAGATTGTTGTCCCCGATTTGTTGGCGTCTATTAATATTAATGTACCCGATATGAGAATGCGAATTAGATATAGACTTTTTAAAATATTTAATATTAATTCACCCCTAGAACAGTGTCTGTGTACGGTGAATAATTTGTTAAGAATATACGATATTGACATTTTTAATATTAGTCGGACTAAGCTACTCTCATACTTATGATACGTATATGATTGGGTGTTTTATGTACATTTTAACTGACATTTTTTGCTCTCTTTTTACATTGTATTTTGCATGTCTGGTTGTTTATACATTATTTTTAACTTGTTTTTATATTAGCTAACATTTCTCAACTGTATACATGTAATTGGACTGTCCCTTTGTCTGTATGTATGCAGTATAAATAAATAAATAAATAAATGTCAATTAATAAATTCTATGATTCTTTTAGTTTGTCACTTGGGGTTTGAAACTTCTTAAATATTTCTATTGCCAGAATATCGCGATTTTGAGGGAGGACATTTTTTTGACACTTATGTCCAAAGTACATAAGGTCAAAAATCGATCTAGTAAAAATATTGAGAAATTCTTCATGACAATGTGTCTATTGCTATATCAAATCACATTCAATTGATTTATTCAAACAAATTCCTGGACGGGTTATTTCGAGACATGTTAATGTCAACTGGACACAAAGTTTACGTGATCTCACCCCTTTGGACTTTTTCCTACAGGATTATGTGAAATTTTTGGTTTATTGAAAGGAATCAAAACATAAATTAAATATTCAACGCACCAATGAAAATATTCCACGTGAAACGTACAAGTTGTCGAAAATTGGATCTCCAGAAGTACAGTCGTGGAGGACATTTAAACGATGTAATTTTAAAATATGTTGTCGATTGCTTTTCAAAATAAAATATAGTATTGGAAAAAAATTTCATGAATTTTTTACTGATTTTCGAAAAGTTGTATCTCAGTGAAAAATGGTCGTATCGAGATAAAGAAATAAGCATTTTGAAGCTTTAAGTCTCTAATTTTAAGATCTTTAGACAAAAAAAATTTTTGAGGTACGGTTATCGAGCAATCAAAAGAAATACATAGAAAAAAAATATTACAATTTTTTTTTGTTTAGGTATCCCTGGACTCACGAATTTTTTTTCAAATTCCATCAATACAAAGGGCGGTTAATTTATTTATTCAGCTTCAATTTGATTTTTGAAAGATCTCCGTGCGATAATGGTGGAAAAATAACACTTTTGTCTTTAATAATCGATATCTCTGCAAGAAATTATTGCACAGTAAATTCAAAGGAACTTTTGAAAATTTGAATAAATTCTCTATAAGGACCCGCCCTTGTTTTCGAAGAAAATTTTTTTTTCAATCTTTGACATTTTGAAAAAAGTGAAAAAAATGGGTTTTTAAAGTTTGTTAGAAAATCTACCGCTAATTTACAAATATTTATGAAGACTAATGTTGAGAGAAATTTTTACAGCAGAATGTACACATTATAACCCTGTAAATTGTCAAGTTGATGCATCAAACCGTTTTTCTGTTCCAAATGATCAAAGCTTGGGAAAGAATAAAAGGAACACGTTTAATGCTTCTAAACATTACGTAATCATTATCAAAATAAAAAGGAAGAATTATTATTTTCGACATTTGCTTCAATTTTATATTATATATATTTAAATTTTAGAAAAAAAAATTAAAAAATTCTTAAAAATTGTTCAACGTTCATTTTTTTTATTATGGAAAAGTTGCTGTACGACCCAGCCTTTGCATAACATAATTATACTAATATTTATTTAATCGCATTAAGTGCAAAAAGAGTTATGAATGTTATGAGTCAAGTAAGGGACAAATATCTACGCCACTGGATTTAATGATTAACGTTGGTTGCACAAAAACTATCTATAATTGTCTCCCTTTGTGAATCAAAGGTTTTCAACTGTTCGGTGTGCAAATATTTACAAACAGTAAAGAATATTCTCGATTTATTGGCCCCCCTGTTGAAAACCGGTCGGTGACGCCTCTGGATTATAACCTTATTACCCAGCACTTGAATATCGATAAGAGAACTTCCACCACCCACCTTCCCGTCACCTAAAACACCGCCAACGCCGACCAGGAATAACCCGTAACTCCATAAACTTCTTTTATCAATCAAAATCGCCGCTTCTCCATATTACCGTCGTCGATCTTGACCTCGCCCAAATTTCGGAGCGGCCAAAAACAGAAGCCGGAAACAGTTAAATGAATAACTCGCGTGAATTCCTCAAAAACATACCGAACGACCGTGGGGTTACGCATCTTTTCGTGGAACTGTTTATAAGTCGTTCGCTATGTAAGCTCGTTCGTCACGAAATATTTTCGAATGCGTCGACCAGAGCGGACTTGAAATGGAGCAGATTTGTTCTGGGAGATAACCGGAGCCAGATGTATAGCGCGACATACGGACGACTGAAATTTGGCCCACAAATGGAGCGTTGCGAACGTGGATTTTATGAATGATTAACTTTCTTTCGTATTTCCCAGATTTCGGCGTTCGGCAGTGGCGGCTGGGTCTTTTAAAATTCCTATTCAGAAAGTAAGTTCCTTGGAAAAAAATATATCGATGACGTCGTTACTCATCTACAGTGTGACGAAAAAAAAATTGTGCGTCAGTATAAAGAAAATAACATCCCATTTTACAATATACATGGGCCCTGAGACACCCTTTATATACTTTACAGGGTGCCCAAAAATGGGTAACCGAGTTATAGCTCGGGGTCTTTAAATCAAACAGATTGTATATTTACTATAAAATTCATGAGAACGTTACAAATCATTTAATTTATTTGTTCTATGCAAAATGACTACTGTCAAATGACAAAATGATGATGGAGTGGAAAGATGCCAGGAAATAACTTTGATTATTTTTTGACGTTTCTTAAAACCAATGAAATGCTTCTTTATTTGTCACAAGGGTAAGTTTCAACCAATTATGTCATTATTATAGTGGGAATAAATCTCTTGTGATTATTCTCGGGAATAATCACTGTGGCTTTTATTTGCGTAGCAAGTGTCAGATAGTTGTCAAAATAATTACCTAATTGTGTCAACGCGATATATAAAATGGGTGAAAATCATCGGTTATTTCTGCATCACCTTTTCTGATGCAGAAATAACAAAAAAGATTGTAGAAACTACTTCGAAAAATACTCTAATAAGTAATCAGTCTATATGGAGACAATTTAAGACCTTCACCAAAGAAAGAAATTATATTCTGGATCAATCTACTACAGCTACTCTGGCATTGATTTTGAAAGATTGGGCTTATAACATGAAAAGAAAAGACGGAAATGATTATAAAGGAGCAGTAATAAAGACAATGTGGAATAAAACGGCAAAATTAGTTCAAGAACTTTACTTTAATAAGTATAACAGGTCCTTTGATCCTTTCCATGATATAAAATTCAAAAATGCTCGAAATGCAAAAAGAAAAATTTTACAAAAACATCCTGAAAAGCACAAACAAAGTTCTGTGGCACTTTCTAATACAGAATTGTTGCAAATTTTTAACTATTGGGACGAAGATACACCTTGTGGATTGCAAAGAAAGTTTTTTCACGTTGCATCGTATGAACTAGCTTGGAGGGGAGGAGAAGCTACGAAATGTTTAGTTCATTATTTTAAAAAAGGCCGCATTGAATACAATCCCATCTTTACAAAAACTGCACAGGGTGGAGCACAAAGGTGCGCTAATAGTAAATGGTTGACTCCAAACATAAATAACCCAGATATTTGCCCTGTTCGTCTTTTTGAAAAACTAATGGGTAAACGTGAAGAAAATATTAAAACCGAACGCTTGTTTCTTACTCCAAATCCGGCTTGGCAAACTCATGGTTCTTGGTATAAAAACGTTCCTGTGGGAATAAATTCCATTTCAAAATGGATGAAAGAATCCGCAGAAAAAGTAGGTCGAGACACAGTTACTAAAAAAATAACTAACCATTCTGCCAGATCAAGTGCAGTAAGTAACCTTTCAAAAGCTGGTGTAGGAGAACAAGAACTAATCAAGGTCACTGGTCATAATTCTGCAAGTTCGATTAAACCATACTTACAATTGAACCAAGAACATCATTCAAATATAATAAATAATCTTAGAGAAAATACGCAGGAGAAAACACTTAATATAACAAGCAATTCCAAATCCTCAATAAATAATGACTCTCGAAATATTTTTAATAATTGCGTTTTTCATTGTACTAATTTAAATTGTTAATTCTTTTAATATATTCACAATGTGTCAACGATATTTTCGTATATTGTAATAATTAATTAAATTAAATTTTTCAATAGTTTTATGATGGTTTTATTGATCTTTTTTATTGTAAAAATTTGTGAATCAAAAAATAATCTAGTCAAATATAAATCGCGAGTTGCATAAATTAGAAAATAATTTGACAGATTTTGTTCAAACTTGTTGCCATTTGGAAATAGCCACTCGAGCCCTGCGGGCTCTCGTGACTATTGCCTGGCAACAAGTTTTCAAAAAATCTGTAAAATTATTTTCAATTTATTCTCACTCTCTTGTTATATTATTACTGAAAACACATTTTGATAAAATCTACTTTAATAGATGCTTTAAGGACAATTGACTTTCAAGTTGAGGAAGTTTATATCATTCTAAGTGCATCTACAATCCTATTTACTTCATACGACGTTCTTGTCACTGATCAGGAAAAAGCTATAATGGTGACCCTAGAAGGGACTCACCCTGTATACTGGGTCGGAAAGTCCCCATGGTTCATCGGCCATTACGTGAAAGCGATAAAGTAAGTTATAGAAATCCATGCGATAGAGAAGGATGGCTATAATGATGGCGTCTCATAGTCGCAGCCCGTTTCGCCCTTCCACAAATAAGATCTATTTCCACTTGTAATTCAGCGACCGGTGGTCATCTTTGTTTTCGTCGTTTGCCTTTTCCGTAATAGATGTCACTAATTATACAATTCCGACTTCGTATTCCGATATGTTAATACCAAGGACATTTAAATAAAGGGGACTTATTTATTTACATTTCTAGATGAAGCCTGGTCTATTCACAGTCTAATTGTATCATTGTTGTCAGCTGTATAATTATACTGGAAATGTACTTAATATTTTTATCGCAATTTTCATCACAATTGTGAAAATTATTATTATAGGATAGTATTATTAAGTTATGCATACAATATTGTTAAATTCTGTACATATTAAACTATTTTTCATTTTTCATATTTGCCATGTTTGAAGACTTGGCAACTACGCAATAATTTGTAGCGTGTTCCTCGTTCGTTCTGCCGTGGTTGGCAGAATAAACGAGGAACACTTAGAAAATAGTTGTGATTTTAGTAAGTGAAACGTGATTAGTGTTTATACATGTATTTTGGATAAACTTTTAAGGTGTGAATATGGTTAGACAGTGCAGAATTTGTAAGAAATTGGATTATAAACATCCACATCAGCTATCCTTCCACAGGTAAGCGTGCTTGAAGGTGACTTTGGAATGTATATGCAACTGTGGCCATTGTCGTGCGTGTGGGTAACTTTTATTTGAATAACGGTAAAATTTTATAAAACTGACTTGGTATTTTTTTAAAATTTTTGCTGAAATAGTAAGAAAACAATAATATGAACCACGTTTGGCCATTAAAATCAAAGGAAAATGCTGCACCACAAATAAGTTACAGACATTATTTATATTTAATATATTTATAGGTATTTCAATGTTATCCCTTATACCCAACATTACAAATTTTAATCATTCATCATTTTCATTTTCCTCTACGACAAAAACCTTTTCAAAAATATATTTACAATTTTACTAAATGCACGAGCATAAAAACTGAATAAATACAACAGCAAAAATATGGTGGTGGTTCACTTATACATAAAAATACCGAAGATGCAATCGACTGAAAGTTGCATTCATTCAACCATTTGATGTTCTCCTTTGGGAATATATTTTTATGTCTCACTGAAAATTTGCCTCAGTATTCTAAAAGTGAAATGTGAACGTTTTTAGGATGCTTGGGGATGGTGCAACAAGAAAGAAATGGTTACAGTTATTGGGATTCCAAGAAGTTATAAAAATATTATATATATTTATTATAAAAATACTGAGTAGCTGTTGAAATATATTGACTTAGGACTATAAAATATTTTATTTTGACCCATCCAAAATGTACGACATTGGAGATGTAATCGCGCGCATCAGTTGGATGAAAATAAAGCCCTCTGCTTTCCCCTTGTCTAGCTTCACTCAACATATGAGATAGACTGTGACATGCATAGTCCCCTTTATTTAAATGTCCTTGGTTAATACAATCAGTTAACAGAGGGTAGCCCTAGAAAGAGTGATGCCAGATATACAGATTTTTTGGAATTGGGGAAATAGGGAATTTTGCTTTATTTCTTGGGATTTTTAAGTCATTTTAAAAAGTATACTTAAATAACAACTAAATGAACTTTAAATGCAGCTGAGCACTATACTCCATTTGAATAACTTCTCAGTAGGGGAAACAAGGTCACTAGATTTACAAACAGAGGTATCTACTAGCTACTGTAAAAAGTTTTCTTTGTTACGCGTTGTGCTGCCCTCTGTTAACGAATGGTATTAACATATCGGAATACCGAAGTCGAAATTGTATAAGTAGTGACATCTATTAAAGAAAAGCCAAACGAAGAAAACAAAGATGACCACCGGTCGCTGAATTACAAGTGGAAGTGGATCTTTTTTGTGGAAAGGCGAAACGGGCGGTCACTATGAGACGCCTTCATTATAGCCATCCTTCTCTATCGCACGGATTTCTATAACTTACTTTATCGCTCTCACGTAACGACCGATGAACCATGGGGTCTTTCCGACCCTGTATATAAGTCATACTTAAGGGTGTACTCACCGTCGTCAGCGTAAGTCTCCGATCCGTACCCATCCTGCAGTCCATTCGCCCAAGTCCCCTCGTACTTGGCCGTAGACGTGTTGGATTGCCTGACTCCGTACCGCCCTTTGAACCCTTGCGTCCACTCCCCCCTGTATATCCACCGACCCCTCGTCTCCACGCCCAGCCCATGTCTTTTCCCGTTCTGCCACTGTCCCTCGAAACAACTACCACTGCAACAAAGAAATAGGGACGTCAGTAAACGTTGGTAGGTGATATGGGTACGGTATACCTGGTGTCCCAGTGTAATGAAAACAAAAACTGCAAGGTTTGTCATATTTGGGTATAAATTTTTATCTCCACTCTCCTAGAAAATAACTTGAGGGGTGAGATGGAAGTTAAATTCCTCTTTTGCGCAAATTTCAATTAATTGTTCCCAACTAGAATGTTTTAGTCTCAATAATAGACAATAATCTCAGCGTTTGTCCTAAACAAATATGAGTCCAAAGAACGTTACTAGTTGCATTAAAAAGTTCCTATTTTCAGGCATCAATATATTTGGGACACCGGGTATATACTAACTAATGCTAACTGTAAGAAAACAAGTACCATACAGGGTGATTCACAACTTATCCAAAAAAAATTGAGGATAGATGTGTCATGAAAAATGGAGTCAAAATCGTAAAAAAAAATTGTAAAATCCTTGTAGTTCAAGAGCAATGCGCTCCCTCTCCACGTAGCCGCAGGCGATTCCGAATACTGAAATCTGATTGTAGTATTAACGTTTTTGGGATAGTGTTTACATTAGTTTTTGAAGTGTCAAAAATGTTTTATGTGTATAGCAACTCGAAGTTGATGGATATCGTTTTAATTTATGGTGAAGTAAAACAACATTTGTGTTAGCTCGTAGAAACTGGGTAATACGGGCCCAAATGTGTTTACACGTCGGTGGGCAAAATTTTGTACAGTTGTTGGAACATCAGGTATGTCAAATTATTTTATTAATTATAACCACTAATTAATTTTATTAATTAATAATAACAATAGCGGCAAAAGCAGTTGATTTTGCTGATATAAAAAAAAAGATGTTATAAAATTTTATTTATTTCTTTCCTTGGGAAAGAAATTCCTCCAATTTTTTGTCTATTCATTTTTTATTACACTTTGCCGCCGTGCCTGTCGCCGACTGCACGCTTTGCCTTGCGCAATGTCAGGTTTTACTGTGGACCAGTTTCCAGTGCCGTGCAAAAGTGTATTTTAAATCTTTTTCGAATAAGCCTTTTTGATTTTTTTTTAGAAAATTGTATTTGTAAGAGTCCCCTGAACATTACATTTTTTTTTGATAGTATCTTAATCACCCTATACAAACTAAAGGTTGGATTTATCTTTTATTGATAAATGTTAATTTTGATTTAAATATATCTTTAAAAATGTCAATAATATATTATTAATTTCGTGAAACACATTTCCTAAGTGTACAAAAAAAATTTTAAAACTTTTCAAAATCAATCGTGTATAATGTAGAATAATTTTTTAAATAATCTTGAGAAGGAAATATAAATATTGGATAAAACAATTGATTTCAATACATATTTTGACAATCGTTTAAATTTGGATAGGTACAAATTTTACTGATACATTTAGTGTATTCTTTTTATCATTATTGAGGACAGCCTGTTCCTCAATTGTATACGCCAAACCTGATGAAGAAAACCTCAAAATCAGATAAAATGTTCATATAGACAAAGGTCATAGAACGTTTCGTTTTCAGTTCAATAAAAAAATATATCACATTTAATCTCTTGAAACTTGGGGTAAAGATTTAAATAATTATGGGCAAAATTAGGTAAGTACATCTAATTCCGGTAGTTTCTAACAAAAAGGATATCTTCAAATTATTTTCTTAATTTAAAATCTTCCACATAGTCGAATAAATCGAAAATAACTATTCATCAAAAAAAGTATGTGTCCCGAAATTCATGCAACAAAATTTGGTCATAGATTCTTAAGACAAATTTAGGGGACCCGTATTTTTTCTTTTTGCCAACTTGCCCCCTCTTTCGGAGTTACAGTCCCCTTAAGTCCGCTCCTAAGAAGTCTTTTTGTATCTCAAAACCATGTTGTACGAGAATCACTAAATTTGGTACACAGGGGTTTTATGACATGTGGAATCTCACAGTGCTACGCTTTTTGGCGAGAAACCCCCTTATGACACTTTTTCGTGGGCGCCCTTGTCTTTGGAACCAGAAAAATTTGGTCGCAAATTTGATTTTTTTTTTAATTATTAGTTAGCTAGAAAGCCATTGAATTTAGAAACTTTTTTGTCCATTGATATTTTCCATTCGATCACATTTTGACATTTTTCTCGAAAACTTTGCGTTTTACGAAAAAAGTATAAAGGGACAAAAAGTTTCTAAATTTAATGACTTTCTAGTGGACTGATAATTTTTAAGAAATTTAAATATGCGACTAAATTTTTTTGGGTCCATAGACAAGGGGGCCCACGAAAAATTGTCTTAAGGGGGCTCCCCCCTCAAAAAAACGTAGCACCATCAGATTCCACATGTCATAAAACCCCTGTGTACCAAATTATCGTACAACAGGGTTCTGAGATATAAAAAAAAGAATACTCTTAGAAGCGGACTTCAGGGGGCTGTAACTCCGAAAGAGGAGGCCACTTGGCAAACATAAAAAATGCGGGTCCCCTAAATTTGTCTTAAGAATCTGTGACCAAATTTTGTTGCATGAATTTCGGGACACCCTGTATGTATAGAAGTTGATACAGCAAATTAATTTTATTCTCAGAAAATTAAAAATTCCTACGCCAATGATTTTTTTGAACTTTTAATAGTCACATTACATTTCAAATTTAATTAAAACAGAAACAAACAATTACTCAAAAATGGAACACACTTTTACATAGTCGAAATTAAATGTACACTTTTCATAATTTAGTGGTGTCGAAATTTTGAACTTTTTAGAGACGTTATATCCCAGCATCTTCGCTACTGGTTGATAGATTTGTGTAGCAATTCAGAATTTTTGCTTATAATTAGTTAAGTCATTACTTCATATTTCATCAATAATAAATAAATGTGATATTTTTTAGATCTCAACAGTATCTTGAAAACGATACGTTCTACGAGCTATGTTTATATGAAGTTTTTTTCTTATGTTGAGCTAAGGTAAAATTTGTATAAGCCCTGTATATCAAGTTGTTTGTCAGTACGACGACACTGAAATTAAATATTTAAACATAATTTGAGAAATTTATAAATATATTTTTGTTTCAATTTTCAGAAAACTAATAGTTTCTATACAGCAAATTTAGTTTCAGCACTGACTTAAACTCTTGCTTTTGCATAGTTTTAAACAACAGGCACATTGTAACTCGGAATAGGAATTAAAAATCGGCTTCAACTTAAAACATTTTATTATGAGTTAACCCATAGTCATATCTACATCTACAATGTTGTTATAAAAAAAGTACCTAACATCACCTAAAAAAGTCACAATCTGTTTACTTAATAAATAATAATACAACTAAATGCACATCTGTACACATTATTTACAGTCTAAAACCACATATTAATGGAAAATCATACTTTTGGTATGACGCTCTCGCAGGGTTTTTTGAACAAATTGAATAAGAAATCTTTCAGCTGTGGAGCTGTCAAACAAGTCATTCCGTTGAATTTTATCACCGGAATAAACAACGTTTCGGGTTTACCGTGCTCACAAGTACCGTTTCCGGCGCCCTCTTCAGATTTGTCCGAACTGCTGGAGTCTTGGATACTGCGACATTCACTACTGCTATCTGGCGACGAGTCGGCACGTTCTTCGCTAGGATCTTCCTCAATTTCGTCGTTGGTATCTCCGCTACTACCAGAAGAATCTCCGCTTCTAGAGGATTCTTCACTACTGCTAGAAGAATCGCTGCTACTAGAGGAATCGCTATTACTGGAAGATTCTTCACTGCTATCTATTTTGTTACTGGATTGTTCACTGTCATCAATATTCTCATCTCGGTGTTCTTCAGGTTTACTATGGTCTTCTTCGGACGAAATTTCTTCATCGCTGTCAGAAATATCTTCTCTTTCATCAACATCTGATTTATTATTGGTCTTTTCGTTGCAATTACTTGCAGGTTTACTATGGTCTTCTTCGGATGGAATTTCTTTATTGCTGCCAGAAATATCTTCTCTTTCATCAACATCTGATTTATTATTGGTGTTTTCGTTGCTATTACTTGCAGGTTTACTATGGTCTTCTTCGGATGAAATTTCTTCATCGCTGTCAGAAATATCTTCTCCTTCATCAACATCTGATTTATCGTTGGTCTTTTCGTTGCTATTACTCGCCTCATCAGATGCGACTTCTTCATAACTGCTTGAGACTTCTTCACTTTCATCAGTCACCGATTTATCCCTAGTTCCTTCACTCCTATTCTTCTCCTCGCGTGTGTCCTCATCACTACTAGAAGTATCCCGACTGCTGCAAGATCCTAATTTATCATTTTCTTCATCGATATGATGATGTTCTGCAGACTTGTTTTTTTCATTACTATCGCTAAGATCTGATTTGTCGCTGATGTTTTCTATGATACTGTGATCCTCTTCACTACCGTTAGATTCTTCACCATTACGTACTTCTGATTGGTCATTGGTTTCTTCTTCGCTAACCTCTTCAGATTTGCTTTCTGATTTGTTTTCTTCATCCAAATTTGCGGGTTCTTCATTGCAGCTAGGAACTTCGTCACTCGTGCTTACGTTCGATTTCTCATTGGTTTCTTCAGGACTACTAGAACTGATACTACTTGATTTATCTTCTTCAATAGTACAACTGACAGGTTCTCCACTGCCGCTAATATCTTCTTTAATTACATCATCACTTTCTGCAGGTTTGGTTTCTTCATCAATATGTGCAATTTCTTCACCTCCGCTATGATCTTCGTTCCTTTCATCACTACTACTTAGATCTGATGTGTTAGTTGGACCTGATTTATTTTCGTATTCTTCAATAGTGCTACAATCCGCTTTAGGCGTAGTTTCGTCATTACAACTAATGGGTTCTTCGCTGTCATTTACATCTGAATTGTCATTGGTTTCTTCAATTACAACGTGCGCGGGTTTGATTTCCTCATTGTCGCTAAGATCCTTGTTGGTTTCCTGACTGTCGCTTAGATCTGATTTGTTATTGATTTCTTCAGGGCTACTAGGACCCTCTTCAATTG